TTGAAAGCTTATTTGCTGAAATATAAATAGAGATCTGGATTGGGTTGGGGGCTATAAGTGGTTTGGGTTTTTTCTTCATTTTCCTTAATAAGCAGGTTTACAGTCTTTCATTGTAAATGTGTTGAAAATGTGTATCCCCATTAAATAAATTATTCTTTGTTTCCATCATGCTGTAAGCTTGTTAAGTGGAAAACTCCAAGGACACCAGCACACACACATACAGAAAAGCCTGTGGCTGCTGGGGTCCCACTGTTTAGGCTTAAAAACGACAGCGTTGCCTCTTGCCAGCTCTGTAACCTTAAGCAAAGTCTTAATCTCTTGTAATCTTGAGCAGAGGTCTTAATTTCTTGTGCCTCAAATTCCTCTTACCTTTGTCTCATCCGGGTTATTGTGAAAATAGAACCAGTGGAAAGTGCTCGGGAGATTACTCAGTTTGTAGCGAACACTTGAATTAACATTAGCTACTGGCAGCAACAGTTGAAACTCGAATGGCTCCTAAAAACCCTTGTACTTGCAAACAAGAAAGCTGACCGTCACAATGAAACGGCGGTCACTGGGCGAGTGGACCTTGTTCGTGAAATATCTCAGGACACCTCTGCACTGCATGCTGGTCACACTATACCTTATTTGGCCTCAAATTTCCTTACATGCCTGTCTCTGTCCCACACATAAACATGCTCTCAGAAGCCATCTAACACAAACCAAGAGTCTCAAACCCCAACGGGTTCAGTTTTGTTTCTCTAAATGTCTGGGCTTATTTTCTAAAATAGATTTTTTTTTTCAGGCCAAATGTTTCCCAGAAACCTCAATGACAGAATGGAGACAGGGAACGAGAAGACGTGCAGTCATGTCTTGGCTTTATTACAAATGCAGCAGGCTGCCTCTCAGTCACATTTGGAGACATTTGTTCTCTCAGGCATAAAATGGGAAGGACTGTTTGCTGGATTTCAAAGATAGTCTAAGAGACATAGCCAAGGATACTTCAAAAGTTTGAAAATGCAATTAAAAGATAAGGCTGTTTTGATGCAAAAAAAAAAAAAAAAAAAAACCCACAAAAACCTGAAATCCATGCTTATGAGTTTTCAGAAAGTTCATGGAAAATGCATTGTGAAAAAAACTAGGCATGGATTTCAACATTTTTTTGCATGAAAATAAACTTAACTTTTAATTCCACTTTCCATGAAATTTTTTTAAATTCATTTGTAAGAGTTATAGAGAGAGGAAGAGAGAGAGAGAGAGAGAGAGCGCTCTTCCATCTGCTGGTTAACTCCCCAAATGGCAACAGCGGCTGGGGCTGGGCCAGGCTGAAGCCAGGAGCTGGATACTCCATCTAGGTCTCCCACGTGGGTGGCAAGGGCCCAAGAACCTTGAGCCATCTTTCACTGCCTTCCCAGGTGCATTAAGCAGGGAGCTGGATTCGAAGTGGAGCAGCTGGGACTTGAAGAGGTGCTCATGTGGGATGCTGGCAATGCAGGTGGCGGCTTAATCCACTGTGTCACAATACTGGCCCCAGCATGAACTTTTTGAAGGACCCTCTTACAACTCAGAGACCTGAAGGAAGAGCTCTACACAAAGTGAGCTGTTGGTGTCTTGTGCTACTGGGCTACCATGGTAAATCATACAATACCTGTGTCTGGGCCAGCCTTGTGATGCAGTGGTTACAATGTCACTTGGGATGCCCACACCACATATCTGTGCCTGGGTTTGAGTCCTAGCTCCACTCTGGATTCCAGCTCCCTGCTAATGTGCGCTCTGGGAGGCAGCAGATAATTGTCCAAGTAGTTGGGTGCCTGCCACTCACATGGGAGAATGGGATTGAGTTTCCAGTTCCTGGTTTTAGCCTGGCCCAGCTCTGGCTGTTGGCTGCATTTGGGGCATGAACCAGCAGATGGGAGATCTGTCTGCTTTTCAAATACATTTGTTTCATTTAAAAAAGAAATATGGGTCAGCATGGTAGCACAGTGTGTTAAGCCACTGCCTGCAATGCCAGCATCCCAGATGGGCACCAGTTCGAGTCCCAGCTGCTTTACTTCAGATCCAGCTCTCTGCTATGGCCTGGGAAAGGTGACCCAAGTGCTTGGGCCCCCACCACCCTCATGAGAGACCTGGATGGAATTCCAGGTTCTTGGCTTTGGCCTGGCCTTTTCCCAACCAAGTGGCCACTTGGGGAGTGAACCAGAGATGGAAGACCTCTCTCTGCCTCTGCCTTTCTGTAACTGCCATTCAAAGAAAGAAAAAGGAAGGAAGAAGCCAGGCAGGCAGAGTTCTAGAGAGGCGGAGGCATTGAGAAAGAGAGGTCTTCCATCCGCTGGTTCACTCCCCAAATGGCTGTAGTGGCCAGAACTGGGCCAATCCAAAGCCACAAGCCAGGAACTGCCTCTGGGTCTTCCACACAGGTGCAGGGGCCCAAGGACTTAGGCCATCCTCTACTGCTTTCGCAGGTCATAACAGAGAGCTGGATCAGAAGTGGAGCAGCCAAGACCTGAACCATAGCCCATATGGGATGCTGGCACAGCAGGCGGAAGCCTTCCCGGCTACGCCACACCTCAGGCCCCAGCTGCCCTTTCTATCCAGCTCCCTGCTAATGGCCTGTCAAAAGCAGTGGAAGATGGCACTGCCACCTACATGGGAAACCCATAAGCTCCTGGTTCCTGGCTTCAGCCTGGCCCAACCCCAGCTGATATGGCCATGCAGGGAATGAACCCCAGCTGATATGGCCATGCAGGGAATGAACCAGCAGATGGAAGATCTATCTCTCCCTCTCTCTGTAACTCTTTGATTTTTTCGAATAAATAAATAAATCTATGTTATCTCTTTCGTCTTCCTATGCATTTTCTCCTCCTTATTCCCATGGACAAGTAAGTAGTTCCAAATGAGACAGACTTCAACTTGAATATGAGCCAAATTAAATGAGTGTGAAGAAAAGGCATGGAAACAGTACCATTGCCCACTAAATACTGTTAATAGCACGGGTCAACTTGCTTGGGTCACAGGCTGCCCAGGTAACTGTACAAACATTATCCTAGGTGTTTCTGCCAGGGTATTTTTGGGTGAGATGAACATCTGACTTGGCAGACTGAGGGAAGCAGAATGCCTCCCCTAATGCAGGTGGGCCTCATGCCCTCATCTGAAGGCCTGACTACAACTAAAGGCTGCCTCCCCGCTGCCTGCTGGTCTTCAACTGGAACAGTGGCTCTTCCAGCCTTCCAGCCTTTGGACTTTAGCTAGCACTTGAGCTAGGACATGGGCTTGGCAGATTCTGGACTTCCCAGCCTCGATAATCAAGGGAGACGATTCCTAATTAAATACATAAAGATTTCTCTCTCTCTATATATATGTATATTTATATATACTTAAAGCTACATCTTTATAGGTCTACATGTTTACACCTACCTCTTTCTCTTCTGTTGGTTCTCTTTCCCCGGAGGACCTTAATACAATAGCATTATTATCCTGAAACTCTGCAGATAAAACTTGAGAGAATTTCAGATCACGATTGAAAACTAAGGCCAGGCAGGTTCTTCTAAGAGCAAATGACATGCATGGAAATATTCTTCAGCCTCTGGTGTTTATGGCCACTTCTGTGGCCACCACCTGCAGTTCCACCATACCATATGGGCACTGGTTCAAGTCCCAGCTGCTGCACTTCCCATTCAGCTCTCTGCTAAGGCCTAGGAAAAGCAGTACAAGATGGCCCAAGTCCTTGGGCCCCAGCACCCATGTGGGAGGCATGGAGGAAGCTCCTGGCTCTTGTCTTCAGATCAGCACAGCTCTGGCCATTGTGGCCATTTGGGGAGCAAAGCAGCAGATGGAAGACCTTCTCCCTTTCTCTGCCTCTCTGTAACTCTGCCTTTCAAATAAATAAATAAATCTTTAAAAAAAAAAAAGGCTAATAAAAAAATACATGTAGAGTTCTTTCCAACACACATAATTTTCTGTTGACTGCCCACCTAGTCTGCCCTGGAGCTTTGGGCGTTATTTGGTGTTAAGGATGAGGCACGGACACAGCTGAGCCATCTTCCTACACACAGGGGAGCAACGAGGGTGGAGGGTAAAAGGGCCCTGAAGCTTGTTTCCTGGGCAATGTGGTCTCTGGATTTGAGAGAATTTCATGGGGGTTTTTACACCCCCCAGCCATGCCTCAGGACATGCCAAACGCAGGCAACGATAAGGACAGGCAAGAGAAGTGTCACGTTGAGTGGAACAGTGCCGTTTCCCAGGGAGAGCAGACAGACACCCAAAAAATGGAGATACCAGGACAAAAAATGAGAAACTCAATTATTCCTTAGCAATAGCTGGGAAAAGCGAATTAAAGGAATCGTCGTGGAGTAATTTGGGCTCATGAGTTGGGACAGCAGTCATCGGTCATTACTGCGAAAGGGCCTTCCCTGACCTATGATCTCGCGCCCCCTGCTTATTTGGTCACTCAGCTACTTTGTTCAGAGAAGAGAGCCAAGACAGCCAGGATCCCACGGCTTGTTCTCAATATACTCTGTAGGAAATTCTTATGTTTTCTTCTTGGCCAAAGGCCAGCTGAGTGGTTGAAGGGGCATCTTGATTCAAACACAGAAACCTCTCCAGGGAGGGGCTCCAACAGTACCCGCATGCTAACAAGTTTATCCAAGAGGTGGCAGCCAAGTGACGAGCCCAGTTGTTTTTAGTAGAATCACATTTCCATTCATGTCAACATTTTTCTTCCTCTTCTTAACCAGTTTGCTTTCCTTTAAGGTTAGGAGCTCGGAGAGGAAATACTTCTCTCTCACGTCCTCTTTTACTAGTTTTAGGCCTAAAATGCTTGCCAGTTGGGAGAGAAAATCCCGAAGGGCTGGAAGCCAGCCCCTAGCAATGCTTGAAGAGGTAGGTAAGTCCTGAGTCAGCAGAGGGCAAAGCAAGCACATCCAGTTTTTCAAATGGTCACATCTTTAAGCAGTAGGTGGCTCACTCGTTACACTGAGTACTGAATCAGAACCAGGCAATTGGATCCAAGTGGTACTAGTAAATCAACAGATAAACAGTAACATTTATCTTCATTTTAAAAGAAGGTCTATTTAAAATGTAAAGTCTCTGTTTCCACATACTCTTGAACAGTAGCATTTTACAAACTCACACGGAAGGCCAGTGACTGCCAGGAATACAAGATTCAGTTCTCGTTTATTTTTTCAGGGGCTGGAATCAGGGATTAAAAGCCACTTTTCGGCCGGCGCCAAGGCTTACTAGGCTAATCCTCCGCCTTGCGGCGCCGGCACACCGGGTTCTAGTCTTGGTTGCCCCTCTTCCAGGCCAGCTCTCTGCTGTGGCCAGGGAATGCAGTGGAGGATGGCCCAAGTGCTTGGTCCCTGCACCCCATGGGAGACCAGGATAAGTACCTGGCTCCTGCCATCGGATCAGCGTGGTGCGCTGGCCGCGGCGGCCATTGGAGGGTGAACCAACGGCAAAGGAAGACCTTTCTCTCTGTCTCTCTCTCTCACTGTCCACTCTGCCTGTCAAAAAAAAAAAAAAAAAAAAAAAGCCAGTTTTCTTCTCATGTAAAGGAAAGCTGGTATTCTACTATCCTTTTTAGAATCACTGTAGTCAAAACCCTACCTGAAAACAGCAACGCAAAGAGGAACTTTAAGGACCTAACAGATTGTTCAAGTTACAACAATTGCTATTAATAACCAACAGCAAAAGGCTGAAGGCTCGGCCCTGGTTCTCTTTCTGCTTGTTGGCCCCTTCTTTCTCAGGACAGTGGCTTTCAAATCTGACCAGTGGCAGAAGGACCCAGAGACCTCAGGGCATATGGAATCTACAGAATTCCCCAGCGTGGATTTCCAAACCAGGCTCATCAGAATCACCTGCTCCGAAAATGAGACAGTCTTGGGCTTCACCTTTGGAAATTTTGATTCAGTAGGTTTGAGACTCTGATCCAAAAACCTTAACATTAATACATTTTTCAGCTTCTCAAGGGGTTGGGCCAGGTTTGGGAACCACTGACTCAGGACGCTTCTTTAAGGTCTAGCAGAGGACTTCCAGGCTCCGAGCTCACTAGGAACGTTCAGAGCCTCGGGGAGGTTACATATCCCCATCCTAGAGAGAATTTAACAAATTAAACTGTCTAGGAGAGATGTGACCCTAAAAGCCTGCCTAGTTTATGGCTGAAATCGCCTACTGATTTTCTGTCTAAGCATCCTTTGCAGGGCCAAGGCCCACAGTTTCCTGTGGCTGTCCAGTGCCTGCTGCCACGGCGCTCACAAGGTGGCTCGGCTGGACTCCGTTCTGTTAACCTCTCTGCCTTTTCTTCTCCCATCCAGATTCCCGAATTGTGAAGGACAGGCCTATTTTTGGAGCATCACAGCTAACTGCGTCAAGACATCAACCCAAAAACCCGAGGCTCTATCCCCCTGCACTGGTTAAATTCCAAGTTCAAGACCGAAAGAATTTGAAAATGAAGTCCTACACTAATTTGGGAAATGTCATTTGATCTCATTTTCTTTTCCAACTGAAGTCATGATACCAACATGCATCCAATGGAAAAATAAGTCCAAGAGTAGGTGAGAATAAGGATCTTTAAAACACAGATCCCTGCCGCAAAATTCCAGATGACCGACTGAGGGCTGAGATGATCTTCCCTGACAGAAAGCACGCGCTGGACCCCATGAGTCAGCAGCAGGTCAGAGCCAGCTTCTAGGGGGTACAGAAAGGCACACGGGTCCCAGGGGTCTTTACCAAGGGATGGTGGACCTCCTTCCTGGATGGTCAGCAGAGGACAGTTCCAGTGTACGGACCACAGCTGATGGAACTGACAGATGGACCACCACTGGAGAAGACAGAAAGTCCTAGAAGAGGGCTGGGCAGGCAGCCGAAGCCACTAGCAGCAGGCCCAGCTGGAGGAGGACTTGCTCTGCAGGTTGATGTAGTTCCCCTGGGTGGACAAAGACACGGCCTCTTCTTTGGAATTGCTCATCATTTTTTCAATGAGGACTCTGAAAAGCAAATAAAAATAAGCCCGAGAGGCTGGCTGAGGAAGAGCAGAAGCCACAGACATTGTCGGTCTTAGACCAGACGGCAGGTGGTAAAGCCACAAGGCTTCATGCACCACAGTCCTCAGGAGAGAAGACAGCATCCGGGCTTGCAGGGCCGGGCGCTCCAGGGGCTCCATCCGTTCTTGTTCCCTCAGAAGTCAGAAAAGGGGGCCCCTGGAGTCACAGCGGAAGATGGGCAAGTCCGTGTGCCCACCCCCAGAAAAGCAGGAGCTACTCACCTCATGGCCTCATTAATATTCTTGTTCTCCTTGACTGACGTTTCTGTCCAACCTGTGAAGCCGTTCTCTTTACTGAACCGGTCGATCTGGTCCCTGCTCACTGCCCACGGGGACAGATCACACTGACAAAGATAAGAAAAGGCAACATCATAACCTTCCTGAGAACAGGACCTCGGCTCAGATAACCTGCCAATTTACTTATTTTTCACTTTTTAAAAGATTTATTTGTTTACTTGAGAGGCAGAGATACAGAGAGAGGGACAGATAGAGAGAGGTCTTCTATTCGCTACTTCACTCCCCAAATGGCCACCGCAGCAACAGCTGGGCCAAAATGAAGCCAGGAGCCAGGAGCTTCTTCTGGGTCCCTGATGCAGGTGCAGGGGTCCAAGCACTTGGGCATCCTCCATTGCCTTCCCAGGCCACAGGCCGAGGGCTGGATCGGAAGAGGAGCAGCAGGGACACGAGCTGGTGCCCATATGGGATGCAGGCACTGCAGGCGGAGGGTTAGCCCACTGGACCACAGTGCCACCACCCCCCCCCCACCCCCGTCAATTTGAAACCTTTCTCCACCAATGGCAATGAACACTAGCATCTAAAACCTATAATCCCATTCTTCCCAAGGAGAGTCTCACTCACAATATTCCTTGAAGGGAGGAAGTAAAGATTCTGCCAAATTGAAAAGGTGAAACAAATGTTCAGAATGAGAGAGCATTTAAGCCTTGTATTTATTTGAGAAGCAAAGAGATACATGGGGAGAGAGAGAGAGTGTCTGTGTGTGTTCCCCTTCACTGGTTCACTCCCCACTGCCAACAACAGTTGGGGTTAGGCCAGGTTTAGGCTAGGAACCAGGAGCTCAATCCGGGTCTCCCAGCTGAGTCCTCACCTGCTGCCTCCCAGGGATGCATTAGCAGGAAGTGGGAGTGGGGCAGAGACGGAAATCCGGGCACTGCTATGGTATTCGGGCACCCCAAGTGACAGCTTGACCGCCAGGGGAAAAGCCTACCCCCAGAGGACATTTCAGATATGCTTGCTCTCTGACCACAGAGAAGAAATGGGAGTTACTTTCTCACACTGGCCACAGACCTTGTTGGCCAAGAGCAGGCAGGGCACGGGCTCTCCATTGGGCAGGGTGAGCTTGCTGTCCAGGTCCTGTTTCCACCTCTGGCTGTTGCTGAAGGTAGTGGCGTTGGTAACGTCAAACATGATAACACAGGCGGAGGCGTCCCGGTAGTACAGCCGCGTCATGGAGGTGAAGCGCTCCTGCCCTGGGGAGGAAGGGCCGCCCTCGAGAAGGTGACCCCACCTGCCCACCGGCCCTTTCTTGTCGGAGAGGCCTCACCCGTACGCGACACAGGAACCCTCTGACTTGCCCTCTCCCACTCCTGGTCTTCTCTCCATCCCACAGAGGGCCTACTAAACTCAGTCATCCCCAAGGCAGACTCTGCTCCCAGTCTCCCACTCCAGATCTGGACTCAGTTACTGTTATTTGTGTGACTTGCTAAGTGCTTCAGATTTCTCGTGTGTGAAGTGAAGTCAAAAGCAGTTGCTTTGGGGCTCGTGTTGTGGCACAGTGAAAGGTTAAGCTGCCACTAGGAACACTGGCATCCCAAACTGGAGTGCCAGTCTGAGTCCAGGCTGCTCAGCTTCCAGTCCAGCTCTCTGCTAGTGCTCCTGGGTAAGCAGGAGAAGATGGCCCAAGTGCTTGGACCCCTGCCATCCCTGGGGGAGACCTGGATGGAGTCCTTGGCTCCTGGCTTCAGCCTGGCCCAGCCCTGGCTGTTGCAACCATTTGGGGAGTGAACCAGTAGACGCAAGATCTCTCTCTCTCTCTTTCTCTGTCACTATGGCTTTCAAATAAATTAATAAATCTTTTTAGAAAATCAGCTTTTATGATAGGGTTGTTGGAATTAATGAGTCCCTGAATTAAGAAAATTTTATTCTGAAAGTTTTTACTAACATGTAACACCTGTACATTTTATTTATTTATTTATTATTTATTTTGGAAGTCAGAGAGAGATCTGCTGGTTCAATCCCCAGAACGTCACAATAGCCAGCGCTGGGCCAAGCAAAGCCAGGAGCCAGGAGCTCCCACATAGGTTGCAGGGGTCCAAACACTTGGGCCATCTTCCACAGCTTTTCTCAGGCCATTAGCAGGGAGCTTGACTGGAAGTGGAGCAGCCAGGACACAAACCTGCACCCATATGGGATGTTGGCATCACAGGCAGCAGCTTTACCCACTATGCCAAAATACTGGCCCCCATTTCCTGTACATTTTCATGGGGTACTATGCAGTATTTCAGCACATGTATATAGCATAAAACAATCAAATCAGGCCAGCGCCACGGCTCACTAGGCTAATCCTCCACCTGCGGCGCTGGCACCCCGGGTTCTAGTCCCGGTCAGGGCGCCGGATTCTGTCCCGGTTGCCCCTCTTCCAGGCCAGCTCTTTGCTATGGCCCGGGAGTGCAGTGGAGGATGGCCCAAGTACTTGGGCCCTGCACCCCATGGGAGACCAGGAGAGGCACCTGGCTCCTGCCATCAGATCAGCGCGGTGTGCCAGCCGCAGCGCGCCGGCCATTGGAGGGTGAACCAACGGCAAAGGAAGACCTTTCTCTCTGTCTCTCTCTCTCACTGTCCACTCTGCCTGTCAAAAAACAACAACAACAACAAAAACACTAGAATCTAGTGCTTCTTTTACTGAATATTTATTCACTTTTATTTATTTGAAAGGCAGACAGAGAAAGAGAAAAAGAGAGGAGAATCTTTCATTCCTTGGTTTACCCACAACAGCCAGGGTTGGCCAGGTCAAAGGCAGGGACCCAGAACTGAATCTGGGTCTCCCAGGTGGGTGGCAGGACCCAAGTTTTTGAGCCATCATCTGCTGTGTCCCAGGGTGCACATTAGCAGGAAGCTAGCATCAGAGGCAGAGCTGGGGTTCAAATCCAGGCATTTGGATATGGCATGTGGACGTGGTGAGGGGCGTGTCTACACGGCTATGCCAAACACCGGTCCCTAGAATCTGTTATTTCTCTCTGCATTTTGGTACCTGTTTTCCAATCTGCTTCTGTCTGCTCTCCTCCCTCCCCTGCACCCCACCAGCTGAATTTAACATCCGCAGGAAAGTGCTTGGGGCACAGTAAGGGTCCAGTATTATCATCCTGTTTTCTGGGTTCCTTGTTTCTCCTCAGGGTCAGCTGTAAACCCCTGCTATAGGAACATCCACCCCCAGTTGGGATAGTCCACCACCTTGCTAGCTCCTCCTCCTAGCCAGACGCGGCTCCAGGTCCATCCAGGGCAGAACATCTGCCCAAGCTCCCCCTCCTCTCGGCTCCTTTCCTCCGAGCAGCCCAATCAGAAAAAACCTTTCTGGTCTCGCCGGCCCGCTTCTTTTCTAAGCACTTGCTGGTGAGGTCACAGGCCTTCGCTTGTTCCTAGCCGGCCATCCCAGCTCACCTGCAATGTCCCACAGCTGCAGCCGCACCACCTCCGAGTCAGACCACTGCAGCACCTTCAGCGCGAAGTCCACTGAAACACAGGTAGGTCGTATTTTAACAGAATTTACTTTTATTTTAAAAAGATTTTTATTTACTTATTGCATCTACTTGAATGCACAGTGAACAAGCGAGCAAACGAGATCTTTCATTCATTGGTTCTATTCTCAAATGCCTGCAGCAGCCTGGGCTGGGCCAGGCTGAAGCCAGGAGCCAGGAGCTCCATCAGGGTATCCCACATACGTGGCAAGGGCCCAAGCTCTTGGGCCATCATCTGCTGCCTTCTAGGGAGTGCATTAGCAGGAAGCATAGCAGTCAGGCCTTGACCGAGACACTCCATCACGGGGTGCGGGCATCCCAGGCCGGGGTTTAACAGGCTGGGCCACAATCACCCTTCCCTGAAAATTAAAAAAAACAAAAACGACAAAACAAAAAAACCACAGGGATACACTCATATCCGAGAAGCAGTTACAACCCTGGGGACACACAATTCCAAAGCCATTCGTTTGTTTATTTTTAAGCCCTCAGTAGGTCTGAATGAGCTCAGCCTGGCATATTAAGTGGGGGACAGGGAATTCCTATTCTCCAAAGGGGTGCCCGACTTTTGCTTTCCTGCCCACACAATCCATGTGACTCCAAGGCCAGGCACAAAAGGGCAGCAGTGATTGTGAGACCAGCCCCCCTCTCTCCGTTGAGCAGTTCCTGGGAGATTTAGGGGATTTTCTCAGAGACGATGGGGGAGATGGGGAAATGAGGTGAGGGCGCTGCACTGCATCTTCTACGTTCGGTTTTACTGCTGGCTTCCAGTCAGCCTGGCTGCAGGAGTGCTCTCCAGCCGCAATGGGGAAAAGGCAGACGGCCCGGAGTGACGGCAGGCTGACTCTGCAGGGAAGGTGGCGGGATGTGGGCAGTGCCCGGGCTGACCTTAGCTCCCTGTCCCTCTCCGACTCCCTGCCTGTCCCGCACCGAGAGGCTTCCCAGGAAGAAGCTGCAGCTGCGAGAGCTGGGCTGGGCTCCACCACCAAAGGCTGCAGGAGCGGTCCCGGGAAAGCTTTTGGCTAAGGACAGAAACAGAAGAGTGTCCAAGGTTTGAAGGCACATCCTTCTGATCTGCGACAGAGAGAAAAGCTAGCAGAAATTTAGTACAAGCACCGTTAAAAAAAAAAAAAAGTCAACTATATTCTTGGGGCCGGCGCTGTGGCACAGCAGGATAATGCCCTGGCCTGAAGCGCCGGCATCCCATATGGGCGCCGGTTCGAGACCCGTCTCCTCTTCTTCTGATCCAGCTCTCTGCAATGGCCTGGGAAAGCAGCAGAAGATGCCCCAAGTCCTTGGGCCCCTGCACCTGCATGGGAGACCCGGAAGAAGCTCCTGGCTCCTGGCTTCACATTGGCGCAGCTCTGGCCATTGCAGCCAGTTGGGGAGTGAACCAGTGGATGGAAGACCTCTCTCTCTCTCTCTTTCTCTCTCTGCCTCTCCTCTCTCTATGTAACTCTGACTTTCAAATAAATACATAAATACATATTTTAAAAATTATATTCTTTACTCAAGGCAAAGGGGAGCACTTGCTAAACATTAAGGAGCAGGACACTGTAAACCCAAGTCCACGAACCATGGGTCCTCGTGTTATGTGGGAGCGAGGCGCACAGTGGTTGGGGATAATCTGTGAAATTTTAAACCCGCTGGATCTTCTTAAGGAGGATATTTTAAATAGCACTGTAAATAGTTTCCTCTTAAAAAAGTCCATATGAACACCAGCACACATTGTCAAAAATGTACATCAGTGCAGTTTTTTTTTTCTTTAGAAAAAGTTCTTTTGAGCAGAAATAAATCCATGTTAAGTGACCCCGCTCCCTCCACCAGCTCCTTCCCGCTAAACGCCTGCTAAGCAACAAAAAAAGCGTTTCCACCTCTGGAAAATCAGCTGGCTGGGTCCAAAGGCCGGGCCGGGCGGGAAAGCAGCGAATGCCCTGTGGGTTCTTGCTGCGCGCTGCCTTCCCCAGAGCGGGGAACCCGGGTGGGCAGAGGCGGGAGAAGTGGTGCAATTCACGTTCCTCGAACAACCTCGGTTACCTTAATGAAGCCATCACTGGGCAAAAACACAGCTCTCGCCCGACAGGTGTCTGACGGTGTGGCCCGGGGGCCATCAGGGGCTTTTGCGTTCCCCCAGGCCACCCACATCCCCAGGGCAAGGCCAGCGTCCCGGAGCCAGTTCCGCTTCCGAGGTTCACCCCCGCCCCCAGCCAGCTTGCACACCCAGGTGTTCAGCCGTCCCTCACGCCCCAGAGCCGGCCGGGCCCAGCACGGGCGGCCGGCCGCTCGCAAGGCGGCGACCCGTGGCAGGCGCCCTCGGCCTCCCAGCCGGTCCCAGGCCTCGTCCGCACACGCCGACTCACCTCCTACTGCGGACAGATAGACGGCTTGGGCTGGGAGGCGCCCAGAGCCAGCCCCCGGCCTCGACGCCGCCGGGTGCCAGGCGCCCACTTCCTGAGCCGGACGCGGCCCCGGGGCCACCTCCCGCCGCCTCGGGTCCGCGGCCTCCGCCCACCGCGCCGGCCCCGGCGGCGTCTCACCTCCCACCGTGGACTTGTAGTGCTTGCTGAAGCTGTCCTGGGAATACCGCTGCACCAGCGACGTCTTGCCCACCGCCGCGTCGCCCACCACCAGCACCTTGAACAGGTGGTCGCGGCTGCCCATGGCCGGCGGCGCGTGCGGCGGCGCCGGGCGGCGGGAAGTGGGGGAGTCACTTGCTTTAACCCCTGCGGCTCCGGGCCCCCTCCGCGCTCGAGTTCGACATTCTCACCCGCCACGCGTTCGAGCTGCTCCGACGAGAAAGCAAAAAAAGGAAACTTGGCACGCAAACCCAGACGCGCTTCCTCCCCGCGCGGCCGCCGCTGGGGTGGGGCGCAGGGCGCGCGCTTAGCCCCCCGCGGCACGCAGCTCGCACCTCTCCCCGCCCCGCCGGCTGCCGAGAAACGGGACCAGGCACCGCGGAGCCTCGCCCACCGGGATTTCCCCCATCCCGGCCAGCTCATGACCCGGGCGGGGCCGGGAGGGGGGCCCTCCCTGCAGCGCGCGAATCATGTTGAGGGGCTGGAGCAGCCCACATCTCGGTCCCCGGCACCCCCTCTCGCCCTTGGCTCACCGTCCCGTTCCTTCCTCCGTGGGCGTCATGCGCGGAGTTGCTTGGCGCACTACATTTCCCACCGTGCCCCACGGCCCGGAGACCTGGCCGAGCGCAGAGAGCCGCCCGCAATGCCGCCTGGGAAATGTAGTTTCGTCGCTATTTTTGTTTGGAGAAAACCTACGTGAAGTTTTCAAGGCTTTCGAACTCCTCCTTTCGAAGAGTAGAGTGCCGTCAGGGGACATTTGTTAGACTTGCTATCCCCTGACTCAGTCCACCCTCAGTTTTCTCATTTCTTTAAAGGTTTTATGGAGTTAAGATTAAAAATGATCGCTTTAATGAAAGCCCATTTCTCACCCACCGTGTTCCAAGTGAAGTTCCTTCAAATAAGGAAGTCGAGGGCCTTGTGAACATAATCTCATATTTTCCATAAGACCCAATACCAGGCAAGCTCAGGAGAACCTAACCCAGTAGATCAAACCGACGCTTAAAATAATCCAGACCAGGGACCGGCGTGGCGGTGCCCGTGAGCTGAGCCGCTGCTTGCCTCGCCCACATCCCGTACGGGCCCCTGCTAATGTGCCTGGGAAGGCAGCAGGAAATGGCCACATGCTTGACCCCTGCTGTCCATGTATGTGGGAGGCCAGGATGGAGCTCCAGGCCCTTAGCTTTGACCTGGCCCAGCCCCAGCAGTTGTGGCCATCTGGAGAGTGAACCAGCAAATGGAAGATTCTCTCTCTCTCTCTCTCTCTCTCTCTCTCCCCATCTCTCTCAACTTCTCTATCTGTAACTCTGCCTTTCAAATAAATAAATAAATCTAAACAACAACAACAAAACCCGACCCAGTTCCAAAGTTACATGCACTAAGCGGCCATGGTGATAGAGACCTCCACACTGCGAGCTCCCAGCCGACAGCCTCCGACCTGGCAGCTGGTTGGTGTACACTGGGAGTCCTCTGCTTGTTGCTCATGACTAATCATAGAAGGAAGTAGGCAAATAGCTTTAATTTTTCAGCCTGTAACTCTCCTGACTTGCCTGTCTCTTAGGTAGGAGTCAGCAGCAGCGACCTCCACGGCTAGCAAAATGAGCTCCATTTGCCATGCTTTTTCCAAGAACAGAAGGAGAGAACCATCAGGGGCCAGGAAGACAGCCCAGGGGCCAGCTCTGTGAAATCTTGTCCCCGTGTCTTGCTAGGGAGGCTGCCACTTTCAGCGAGGAGAAAACATCAGCCTCGTTCCAGACACGCGTAGCCCCAAGTGTGTGTGCTCCAGGCACGGGAGGTTCGCCGAGGCTGCTCATCTGTAAGGACCCAGTGTTCTTAGTTCCCATTTGCTTTGATGTAGTTCACTGCTCCTTGAGACTTGCTTCCCACGTGCCTTCTAGAATTCCGTGGTTTCGTTTCTTTTCCTTTTCCAGCTTCCTCCTCGGAGGAGCACCTGTACCTTTCAGGCTTCTCTCCCTCCCGTCTCCCCCAAAGGATATCCGAAGGCTTAGTTCTTGGTCCCTAGTTGGTGATCCTATAAACACTTTACTCTAGTAGGTTACCTTTGATGTCAACTAACTCTTTGTTTTCCTTTTTGAAACTATCCCCCAATCACTTTCGTGCAACAGCCAAAGTGGGGGATCCTGTCACAGCGCCCCGCTCCTCTCCTCAGCTCCCTACTTCCGTCAGCGGCCTGCCGGTGTCTGCCTTCCTCTAGGGCCTCACACCTCAAGCATTATTGCCATTTCTTCTTCTTTTTTTTTTTTTAATTTTTATTTATTTATTTTGACAGGCAGAGTGGACAACGAGAGAGAGAGACAGAGAGAAAGGTCTTCCTTTGCCGTTGGTTCACCCTCCAATGGCCGCCGCGGCCGGCGCACCGCGCTGATCCGATGGCAGGAGCCAGGTGCTTCTCCTGGTCTCCCATGGGGTGCAGGGCCCAAGCACTTCGGCCATCCTCCACTGCACTCCCTGGCCACAGCAGAGAGCTGGCCCGGAAGAGGGGCAACCGGGACAGAATCCAGGGCCCCAACCGGGACTAGAACCTGGTATGCCGGCGCCGCAAGGTGGAGGATTAGCTTAGTGAGTCACGGCGCCGGCCACCATTTCTTCTTACATGTGGCCTTTACGGCTCTCTCCCCTTTTAACAGACAGTCACCACATCCTGGACACTTCCTCTTCAGAAAGGCTTCTCCCACCTGTGAGATCCAGTGATGCTTTCCTAGTTCTGGCTTTCATCATCTCACACCTGGATCACTGTAATAACCTAGTCATTGGTCTCCATGATTCTAGTACTTTTTCTCTTTAATTCATCCTATATAGCTGGCCAAGTGATTGTCCTAGAACACCATTATTTGTTCCTTCTTTTAAAAAAATTTATTTGAAAGGCAGAGGTAGAGAGAAGGAGAGAAAGAGAGAGAGAGAGAGAGAGAGAGAGAGAGAGAGAGAGAGAGAGAGAGTCTTCCATCCACTGGTGCACTCCCCAAATGGTCGCAATGGCTGGGGCTGGGCCAGGCTAAAGCCAGGAGCCTGGAATTCCAGGCCTCCCATGTGCGCGCAGGGGCTCAAGCACTTGGGTCATCTTCTGATTTTCCCAGCTGCATTAGCAGGGAGCTGGATTGGAAGTGGAGCAGCCGGAACACAAACCGGCCTCCATATGGGATGCCAGCACTGCAGGTGGTGGCTTTGCCTGTTGTGCCACAACACTGGCCCCAAGATACTCTTTTTGAAAAAAAGATTCATTTATTTATTTGAAAGGCAGAGTTACAGAGAGGGAGGGAGAGATAGAGAAAGAGATTTTCCACCTGCTGATTCACCTCCCAGACGGCTACAACAGCCAGGGCTGGGCCAGGCTGAGGCCAAGAGCCAGGAACTCCATCTGGAGTCTCCCACATATGGGTGGCACTTGGGCCACCTTCTGCTGCACCCCCAGGTGCACTAGCAGGAAGCTGGATCAGAAGCAGAAGAGCCAGGACTGGATCTGGTGCTCGCTCATATGGGAAGCTGGCTTAGCCCGCTGTGCCACAACGCTGACCCCTTCGTATACTCCTTAAGAGTCCAATTTCACTTTGGTTTTGTATCTCTGCCTAGGATGCCTCTCCTTCTAGAATACTCTTCATGTTTCTGTCTATCTAAGTCATATGACACTCTCAGTTCTCAACTCTGGTGTGCATAAGAATCAGCTGAGGGTGCTTTTTAAACAGGGACACCCTGATTGTGTGGGGCTGGGGTAGGACCAAGAGCAGTCTGCATTTTGTGCAAGTACCCACGTGATTCCTAGGCCAGGTTCCACTGTGAGAAATGGGACATCAAGGCCTGAGGTACATATCTACTCATTTATGAACGTTTATCTCAGTCTTGTAGGCTTCAGCAGCAACTCATGGCTTTTACAATTTGTTTGACTTTTAGTCTCCCAACTATGTGACCAATTTATAATCATCAAATTTAAAAGCAATCAGCACATTGCGAAATAAACAGGGACCTCGGAGTTTTGACCTTGTCTCTGGCCCTGTGTGAGAGGAACTGCTCTAGGTTTCCCACTGCAGCAAGGTGGGGAGCGCACACTGAAGAAGGAAGTTTCTGGTACTCTCCTGAGTCAGTCTCTCACAGGAGTCAACTATCCCTTTGGCCCCTGGGAGGGGTACTTCTTCACTGCAGAGCTGCAAGTCTGAGCAAGTCCCCAGACAGACACTTGTCACTGAGAGGGAGTGACAACATTCACAGTGGCACACGGCTGATCTCTGAGGACACGCTTTGGGGAGTTGGAGAGTGGTCACGCCTGCTCGGTTACTATCATCACGCTTCCCGCGGCTGTCTGCCTCTCTTGTTTTTACTTCTTACTTCCCACTTTTTTATTTTGAAAACTGTCAAGCCCACAGAGAAGGTAGAAAGGAAAGTGCCGGCCTACCAGCCTGCCCTTGAGCCGGGCGTGCCAATCACACACTAAATATTGCCTTTTTAAAAAAAATATTTATTTTATTTTATTTGTTTTGTTGAAAGGCAGAGTTAGAGAGGAAGAGAGAGAGAGAGAGAGAGATCTTCCATCCATTGGTTCTTTCCCCAAATGGCTGCAATAGCCAGGTCTGGGCCAGGATGAAACCAGGAGCCAGGAGCTTCTTCCAGGTCTCCCACACGGGTACAGGGGACCAAGGGTTTGGGCCATCTTCTGCTGCTTTCCAAGGTGCATTAGCAGGGAGCTGGATTGGAAGTGGGGCAGCTGGGACTTGAACTGGTACTCGTATGGAATGCTGGTATCACAGGTGGCGGCTTAACCAGCTGTCCACAATACTGGTCCCTTTTTTGCTTTTTTTTTTTTTTTTTAAATTATTGGAGGGAGGGAGGGAGAGATAAAGAGAGAGAAATAGGGAGACAGATAAAGGGAGTGACCCAGAGAGAGCTTCTATCCACTTGTTCATTCCCCTAGTTACCTGTAACTCCTGGGACTGGGGCAAGCGGAAGCCAGGAGCTGGGAATTCAGCCCAGATCTCCCATGACGGTGGCAGGAACCCGTTTATTTAAATCATCACCACCACCTCCCAGGTTGCACATTAGCAGGAAGCTGAAGGCAGGACCCAGAACCAGGTATCGAATGACCCAGGCCGTCGGAGGTGGGATGCAGCTGTCCTCACTGGCGTCTTATAGTTCCTAAGCTAAATGCCTGCCTCCTTGTTTGCTTTTTATGGCGCTCACTTTCTTTTTAAAGAGTGCAGGCCAGTTGATGGCAGCAAGTCCTACATTCTGGATTGCCTGATGGTTTCCTCAAGATTAGAATCAGGACAAATATGCTTGGCAAGTGCTCTACACAGAGGCTGTGATGTATGTCTTGGTACATGGCTCATGTCAGCGTCTATGGGCGATGCCTACCATAGGAATTCAATGAACACTTGTTGAAATGACTTGGTCATGTCAAGAGCCTCGGGTGGTTACTGACGTCATACACAAGAGTGTTAATTGTTAAGCTAACAACAGGAGTCACTGTGCACTAACTCCCATGCAGGACTTCTGTCCTCAATGAGTTGTATT